AATGTAGAAATTTGTAGAGCTGAAAGAATCAGTCAGAATAAACATCAACGTTCACTGTTCTCATCTAAGACACATGAAAATGTGCACAACATCTGCGAATAGTAAAACATTGAGAATGTGGAGAAAGAAATCATGGCAATATTTTTTTTGACATATTAAGATATATTCAGATATTTTAATATTCAGATAGTATGATGTCATCATATCACCTAGCAACCACCCAGTAAAGGGCTAAAAAGTTCCTTTTCTCATCAATTATGCTCCTATAAAAACATAAATGTGTTTTTATTGCACAACATTAACATCTAGTTTAAATTCAAAAAGTCTGATTGACACCATCCTACTGCAAAAACCTAGCAAGTGGCTAAAAATGACATTTTTTGCCTTTATGCACCTACATGCACCTCCTTTTATTTGGATATTATCTTATTATGAGGCAGCTAGTTTTATTTATATTCACAAAGTTGAATTACACATGCCTACCAACCACCTAGGACCTTGTGAGATTACCCCAACACCCAATGTGATTAAGTATATCAATCAGCCAGCTGCACAAATAGGCCAAACTACTGTAGCGTGGGCATGCCATGTAGTAGTAATTATAATAAATAATGCAGTACATTTGCAGCTCTTGCTTGACCATGAGTGACTCAGACGTTCCCCTAATAACTACAAAATTGCATCATCATGAATTAAACCTTTTTTGTTGAAGGTGATAAAAAGTTAAGTAAAATATGATTTACAGCTTCTAAAATCTTCACTTTTAAATCAATATCATAGGAAAAAAAATGAATATATTATGATGAATTTGACAGCTTAGAAGGTTTTTTATTCAGAGATTCAACACTCACCAAGTGAAGTAACAGAGTTCGATTTGGACTGCAGCTCCTTGATTTTGTCATTCAGGCTTTGCTGCAGATCTGCACAGAGACATTTATTATGGGTGCTGATCACAGACAACAGTTTTCTGTATTTAGCAAGAACAGCAAGTCAAAGATTACACTCACCTGTAATTTTCTGCTTATCATCTGAACATCTTTCTGTCTCGTTCAGTTTTTCCTGCAAGTCTAAGAGAAAGGTTACATTACTAAGCAATAGTCTAGGCATTATTTTTTGATACAGGTCAGCATGAAAGCTCATATTGTTATATTTTGTTGGCTTTCAGTGGGTTTTGACTATGAGTTTGTAAAACTATTAAT